TTTTTATATTTAGATCTGCAGCCTACTTGGAATGCAGTTTTGCTTACTGGGGAATGAGGAGCCAAGATTCATTTTTTCTAATGTGGATTTGCAGTTGTCTCAGCACCATTTGTTGGAGTGACTGGGCTTTTCCTGCTGCTCAATTTTCCTGCTGCTCAGCTGTACCACCTCTGCCATAAATCAAGTGTTCATATATGTTCTGGCCCATTTCTAGATTTTATTCTGTTTCATTGTTCTATTGATCTGTCCTTGTGCTAGTACCTCACTGTCTTAATTAATGTAGTTTTTTAGTAAGTCTTTATATCTAGCAAAATAATTCCTCTGACTTTGTTCCTTGAAATTTCTTGGCTATACATGACCTTTTGTACATCAATTTAAAATTGAAAATCAACTTTCAATTTAAATTTAACTTTCAATTTTCCATTTAAAATAGAAAATAAACACATAGGGGCTGGGGATGTGGCTCAAGCGGTAGCGCGCTCGCCTAGCATGCGTGCGGCCCGGGTTGCATGCGTGCGGCCCGGGTTCGATCCTCAGCAGCACCACATACCAACAAAGATGTTGTGTCCGCCGAGAACTAAGAAAAAATAAATAAATGTTAAAATTCTCTCTCTCTCTCTCTGTCCCCCCCTCTCTCTCACTCTCTCTTTAAAAAAAAAAAAAAGAAAAGAAACACATAAGCCCTATCACAATTTTGATGTGGATTATTTTGAACTGGGAGATCAACTTGAGGAGAATTAACATTTTCATAATATTGTGTCTTCTGATCTATGCATATGATATGTCTTTGCATTTACTGTATGTTCTTTTATTTCTCTCAGTAATGTTTTATAATTTTCTGAATAGAAGTCTTGTATGTCTTTTCTTAGATTAATTCTAAGTATCTGATATTTTTTGATGCTTTCCTTTTCTCTGGGATTTTACACCATAGATCCTTGCTGTTTTTGTAGCTTCCCAATAGTCTTAATTTTTTTCTGTTATCTTTGTCTAGCTTTTCTATTTGTTTTCAACTGGACAGTTGCTCCTTACTATTTCTGAACATGGCAATCTTCCATGTCAGCTCAAATTTATCTTATATATTGCTTTAATTTTGTTTATGGCTATTTGTAGAAAATAATTGTTTCTTCTGGTATTTATATACTAAAATAATATTTGCTGACTGCAAAACTAATCACAGAAAACATGCATTAATTTTTTAAATTAATTTTTGATGTAGGAGTTTATACAAGAAACAGAAACTTCCGACTGTATAAATCATCAAAAATAGGAAAGCATGTCGCTTTGGAGATTGCTGAAGATAACAAATTTTTTCCTAAACAGTCAAAAAGTATTTCTGAAGAAAATCAATATTTCCTTTCTTCCTTGGTCAGCAATGTCAGGTACGCAGTATCAGAACTAAACCACTGTATATTCATGAATAATTATTAATCAGTGGCACTGTATGTTACTGAGATGTGAATTATATAAGTTCATTCTACTTTAAGACCAAGAAGGTTCCTAACATTCTCTTTCCTCCATTAACTGAAAAATACTAGTAAAAGTTACCTTTTAACCACTTAGTTTTCTCCTTATATCTTTTTTTTTTTTTGGGTACCAGAGATTGAACCCAGAGGCATTCAACCACTGACTCACATCCCCAGCCCTTTTTTATATTTTATTTAGAGACAAGGTCTCTCCTAAGTTGCTTAGGGCCTTGCTATGTTGCTGAGGCTGACTTTGAACTCTGGATCCTCCTGCCTTAGTGTCCCGAACCGCTGGGATTACAGGCATGCACCACTGCATGCAGCTCTTTGTATCTTCTTATGATTATATTTAATTTATTTTCTAGAATTTCTGAAATGATTATCACATCTCTGAAGAAAACACTACTCCTTGTATTGAATTTGAAAATAGTTATTTTCTCATTTTCCCACATACAAACACACATAATCTACATAGCTCTTTTATTCATAAAGTATTTGTTGGGCTAGGAGGGTAGCTCAGTTAGAATCCTTTGCCCAACATGCTCAAAGCCTTGGGTTTGAGCTCTAGCACTGTCCCTCACCAAAATTTTTCTTGAAATCATTACTTATATGGTTATATCATCCATTTTTTTTCCAACATTATATCATGAATATTTGCCAAGTCAATAATTGGCCAATAGTTAGTTATAAATAAAACTTATTGCCTATATAAATTTTCTATTATGGTAATGTACTTTAACGTACTTTGTTGTCAGATATATTGTTGAACATTTAGGTTCTTAGATTTTGGTCATTCTTTAAAAAGTGTGAAAGTCAACCTCATTCATTCTCCTCTTTTCTGAATTGGCAATTTTCATAATTGACTTCCTATAATTCTTTTCCCTTTGCCTTCCCTAAATAGTTTTTAAAATTTAAAAAAATTTTTTTTTTAGTTTTTTAGATGGACACAATGTCTTTATTTTATTTTTAAGTGGTGCTGAGAATTGAACCCAGTGCTCACACATGCTAGGCGAGCACGCTGCCACCTGAGCCACACCCCCAGCCCCCTAAATAGTTTTTTAAGAAAAAATTCCATAGAAATTAATTTTAAGAATAAACATTTAAAGTACATTGCTGTAGGGAAAGTTGTGTCAAGATATACAGTTAACAGCTATTATATAGTAGGGTGAAAAGCTGGATTTTTAAAAATTTTTTTATTGTATCTTTGTATGTTTATGTTCCTTTAATAACATAGAAGTAAGGTCAAAATCTCAGTTTCTTTTCTTTACAGTGAAAACAATAACAACATTTATCTTATAGAATTGTTGGGAGAGTTAAGTTTAATTTGTACACATAAAATATTTACAACAGTTCCCAGCACATGATGTCTGCTCAGAAATATTCGTTGGTGGTAGTGGCAGCAGCTGCAGTTCTGGAAGTGGTATTAGTGGTATGAAAATTCTTGGACTCTTACTGCAGTGTCAGTACTAATCTTATATGGAAGTGGAGGATTCTTCTACGGAATAAGACTACCTTAATTGTGTTTTATGAGCCCAAGTAAATACCAAGTATTACATTTCTAGAACTAAAGGCTAACTACTACTACTATTACTACTACTAGTACTACTTCTTTTTTTTTTTTTTAGTTGTAGATGGACACAATACCTTTATTTTATTTTATTTTATTTTTATGTGGTGCTGGGGATCAAACCCAGTGCCTCATGCATTCTAGGCAAGTGCTCTACCACTGAGCCACAACCCCGGCCCCTAAAGATTTTATGATTATCGCCCTTTTTAAATATTATAACAATTTCAAAAAATATCATACTTTAGATTATTGCTTTAGCTGTTATAGAATCCTCAGATTTAAAATCTCTGTATTTGGGGCTGGGGTTGTGGCTCAGTGGTAGATCACTCATCTAGTATGTGTGAGGCCCTGGGTTCGATCCGAAGCAGCACTTAAAGATAAATAAATAAAGGTACTGTGTCCATCTACAACTAAAAAATATTAAAAAATAATCTCTAATTGAGGGATTTTAAATTTTAAACAAAAATTTTTAATTGGCAAATCATAGTCTTATAAGGTAGGATTAGTGTCTTTCTGTGCAAATGTGAAATAAAAATAGAATTATTTGGAATTCAGTTTCCTCTGTGAAGTCATGCCACTTTAATTCTAATATAATATTACTTTATTTCTTTTACCTATATTCTTCAGATTTTCAGATACTTTACGAATTCTTACGTGTGACGCACCTCAGATTAAACGAAAGCAAGCTGAGTATTTGAATAGTACCATCACTTCAGGTAATTTTAAGAAAATAATTTCCTATCAGAATTTAAGGATATAAAGTCTTTTTTGCCTTTAAAATTTTAAGTTTTAAAATTTTATCATTTAAAACTACTAATTTCTATGCCAAATTAAAAAAAAGTTTATGAAAATACTAATCACTAATTTGCATTTTATCATATTTTAAAAAATACAAAAGAATTATACATTGTGTATATAAAATAAACACATTTAAAAATAAAAGCTACAGTTTCTTCCACTCTCCTTTCTACAAAGACAGTAGTTTTCTATTTACCCTGCCAACCTTTTCCTGAATTTCCAATATAGAGAACACTCACTTTTTTAATGGTTACAGAGTGTTTCATGATCTGTTATCATAATTTACCTCTTCCTGTACTAAAGAACATACTGGTTTTTTTCTAAGACTTCTTAGATGAACTCTTCAGTAAAATTTTTTCAAAAAATATTTATTTTTTAGTTGTAGTTGTACACAATACCTTTATTTTTATGTGGTGCTGAGGATCGAACCCAGGGCCTTGCACGTGCTGGGTGAGCGCTCTACTGCTGAGCCATCCCCCCAGCCCTCCAGTAAACTTTTTTATTCACTATTTTGGTTTATCATAATTTAAGATAATGAAAAACTGAAAACAATGTAAATAATACAGTGAAATTGGATTAATTACATACTGTGAAATACTATAAAATCATTAAATTTAGGTTTTTATGATGTGGAAAACAACCATTTATGATAGAGAAAAAGTAGGCTCTAATATCTGTATATTATGCTCACAAGCTTGTTAAAATATGGATAACTTTTTATATATTTTCTTCTGATTGTTTAACATGTAATATAGACATTGACTTGGAGTCTGTTTCCCTCATTTCTGTACTATTGTTTCCCCAAATTTCTCTAATTACTTCTCTTAGAAGTGAAAGATAGATCTTTCTGACTTTGCAAATTAAATGAAATTATAAATAATACATTAAAATGATCACATTAGATTTTTAGGTAGAATTGAGTCATCAATTCCTTCTAGTTAGAGACACAGAGAACTCTACACCTGTACTGAGCAAGTTGAGTTTATTTTTCCTTGAAGCAATGGAGAACTACAGGTATCTTAATAAGAGGGTATAAGAAAAGACTTAGAGAATCTGGGCATGGATTAGGTGTTTTTAGAGACTATACAAGGAAACATGGATTTATTCTGAACTGGAAAATCAGTAATTGGTTATCTTTTTTTTTTTTTTTAGTACTGGGGATTAAACTCAGGAGCACTAACCACTGAGCAACACCCCCAGCCCTATTTTATATTTTATTTAGAGACAGGGTCTCACTGAGTTGCTTAGTGCCTTGCTTCTGCTGAGGCTGGCTTTGAACTCATGATCCTCCTGTCTCAGCCTCCCGTGCTGCTGGGATTACAGGTGTGCACCACTACACCCAGCTTGGTTCTTTAAAAAAAATTTTTTTTTTTTTTTTAGTTGTAGATGGGTACAATGCCTTTATTTATCTATTTATTTTTATGTGGTGCTGAGGATTGAACCCAATGCTACACATATGCTAGGCAAGTGTTCTACCACTGAGTTACAACTCCAGCCCAGCAACTGGTACCTTAATAGGTCTTATTTAAACAGAAGGCAAATAGATGAGAGGAAGACTGAAGTATTTGTTAGCCAGGATGTGGTGGTGTTTGGCCATTTTTGTGGTTTGGAAAAATGTTCACACTTTGTCTGTTCACAAGTGATTACAGAGAGGGCTTAATTTTGTCTTGAGTCCTCATGACCACAGAGTGACCTTATCTGATGAAATTCTATGAAGCCATTTATTTTCAAAAGAACCCCAAGGCAAAGAAAGGTACAAGAGCCAGGCCGGCTCATGGCAGCTTGGCCAGTAGAACTAGGAAGTGCCTGGAAGTGAAGGGCTGCTTTTCTCTTTGTCAGACTGAAGAAACCCTTTGACATTAGTAATTTGAAAATTAGTTAACATTGGGCCTAAGTGAGTTGAATTTTACCTGCTTTCTTGTAAGAAGCAAGAACCTAGTAACTGACTGGAGGGCAAATTGCAAATTGCAAAAAACAAAAACAAAAACTGATGGGTTGCAAAACTCATAATTGTACTAAATAACAATTTAATCAAAGTTTAACATCTAAACTTTTACCTATTTCCATTTATAAATAACAATTCTCTTTGTTGCAGTAGAAACCATTGAAGGTTTTCAGTGTTCACCCTATCCTGAAGTTGATCGTTTTGTTCTTTCTTTGGTGAATAAAAATGACATTAAAGGAGGTAAAGCTTATCTTACTCTTTGTTAATTGTTATATGATAGAGTAACAGTACCTTTAGAAACATTCTCTGCATTTTAGGAATTCGGCGCTGGAGCTACTTTTTCCCAGAAGAATTATTGGTTTATGATATTTCCAAATTCCGGTGGTGTGAAAACATTGGAAGAGCCCACAAAAGTAATAATATCATGTGAGTAATATTGTTTATTAATGAGTTGTATATATTTAATTTATGGTATATTTTAAATGTTTATAAATTTTAAATAAAGTTGAGAATACAAAATTTATGTTGATTTTCTGATAAAATAAGTTGTAATTAAATTTGTATTTGTTGTATTTAGTTAATGTTTTATCATATTTAATTTGAATTTCTTAGTTATTACATTGCTTTTAGTATATACCAGCTTTATTCATACTCGACTTGATAAAATAACCCTTTAGTAAAATCTTGACAAGACTAAAATAGAATTGAGCAGGAAAAGCAAGAAGGCAGTGAACAGGTGGACAGATAGTGATGGAAAGATATGCCACTGCTTTTCACTTGCCATTATTTTTTGACATCTTATGGATCTAGATTGAAATTGGGCAGATTTGAGCAAGAGAGAAGCTCCTCAGTTGCTGTTAAGTTGGTGGTAAAAGGGGTGTTCATTTGTTCAAGACAAAGCATGGTATTTATTGAATGCTTTCTTTGTATGCCAGGCCCTGTTTTAGGAATTTTCTTTAAAATGCCCCCAACAAAAGGAAAAAAAAACATAAAAGTAGAAACAGAATTTTAAATAATATGGGATATGGTTAGATAGAGATAAACTAGAAACCCAATAATGAGTTAAGCTATGAGAAATTTTGCTGTTTTATGTCTAATGTCAAAGTTGAGATTCCTGGGTAGTCAAGCTGCAGTACAGCACATGCACTAGACAGGAGGAAATGATCATGAAGATTTCTTGGAGAGCTGGAAAACGTGCTGGTAGCATGATTCAGTGCTGCCCTTGACATACTCGCTTTAATTCAGTTTAAAAAGCCATCATAAACTGTATGTACAATACTAACACAAACCGTGAAGGTGTAGATCACTCATAGTCCCACAACCTAGGGAGAATTTTAGATATCATTTTCATGTATCATTCTAGTCTTTTTTTAATGTATATAAACTTACCCAAAAAAGTCATTGTCATATACTGATCATACCGATTTGTATTATGTATCCATGTCTATTTTGCTCTTTAATTGTGAAATATATACATTTTATTTATTTTTGGTTTTTAATTTATTCCATATTTTAATTTCTACATTATAGTTGTACATAATGATAGGATTGTTACATATTCATATATGGACACAATATAACAATATAATTTGTCCAGTATCATTCCCCAGTAATTTCCTTTCCCTCCTCTCCCTTGATCCTCTCCTCTTCTGATCTCCCTTCAAGTTTTATGAGGTTCCCCACCACCACCTTTCTGTTTTTCTCTCTAGCTTCTGCATATGAGAGAAAATTTGACTCTTAACTTTCTAAGTTTGACTTATTTTGTTTAACATATGTTCTCAAGTTTATTCATTTTCCTGCAAATGACATAATTTTATTCTTTATGGCTGAATAAAGCTCCATTGTGTATATATCCACATTTTCTTTGTCTTCATCTGTTTGACTCCAAGACTAATTCCATAACTTGGCTATTGTGAATTGTACTGCTATAAACATGGGTATGTATATACCATTGTAATATGATGACTTTAATTCCTTAGGATAAATACTGAGGAGTGGTATAGCTGAATCATATGGTGGTTCCATTTGAGGCCTTTTGTCCTAAGTCGCCACACTGATCCTTATAGTGGTACTAATTTAAAATCCCACTAACTGGAAAAATGTTCCTTTTTCTCCACATCCTCTCCAGCATTTATTATTGTTTGTATTCTTTGGGGGGACGGTGGGGGGGAGTGGATAGGCGGGTACTGGGGATTAAACTCAGGGGCACTCAATCACTGAGCCACATCCCCAGCCCTATTTTGTATTAATTGAGACATAGTCTCACTGAGTTGCTTAGTGCCTTGCTTTTTGCTGAGGCTGGCTTAGAATTTTCGATTCTCCTGCCTCAGCCTCCCGAGTGCTGGGATTACAGGTATGTGCCACTGTGCCTGACTACTGTTTGCATTCTTGATGATGACTGCCATTCTGACTAGTGTGAGATGAAATCTCAGTGAGTTTTGATTTACATTTACCTAAGCACTAACGATATTGAACCTTTTTTCCTATGTTGTCCATTTGTATTCTTTTGAGAAGAGTTTGTTTATTTTCTCATTTATTAATTGGGTTATTCTCTTGGTATTAATATCCTTCATATATTCTGGATATTAAGTCTCTGTCAGAAGACTAGTTAACTCATTTTCTGATATTCTATAGGTTCTTTCTTCACATTCTTAATTTTTCCTTTGCCAGACAAAATTTTTATAATTTGGACCCATCCCATTTATTAACTCTTGGCATTACTTCCTAAACTTATGGGTTCTCTTGAGAAAGTAGTTGCCAATGCCTATGTATTATAACCCAGTATTTTCTTCTAGGAATTGCATAATTTCTAGGTCTTGATCTGTTCTGAGTTGACTTTTGTACAAGGTGAGAGAGAAGGATCTGGTCTCCTCCTTCTACATATGGATAACCAGTTTTCCCAGTAGCATTTATTAAAAATACTGTTTTTCCCCCCAAAGTATGGTTTTGGCACCTTTGTCAAGGATCAGATGACTGTAGCTGTGTGGGCTTGTCTCTGGGTCTTCTATTCTGTATCATTGGTCTGTGTGCCTGTTTTTAGGCCAATACCATGCAGATTTTGTTACTATAGTATAATTTAAAGTCAGGTATTGTGATGCTTTCATCGAGGCTTTTATGCCTTAGAATTGCTTTGACTATTCTGGGTCTTTTATTCTTGCAAATGAAGTTTAGGACTGTTTTTTTCTAGATCTGTAAAGAATATCATTGATATTTTGATGGGAATTGCACTGAATTTATATAGTGCTTTTGGTCGTATGATCATTTTAAGAACATTAATTCTGTCTCTCCATGAATATGAAAGATCTTTTCAACTTCTTGTGTCTTCTTCAGTTTCTTTTTCAATATCCTATAGTTTTCATTGTAGAAGTCTTTTACCTCCTTGATTATTCTTAGGCTTTTTTTTAGAGGCTATTATGAATGCCATTTTTTTTCTGATTTTTTTAATGACACCTGTTATATCTGTCACCCACTTATGAAACAGAACTATATTAAAATAATACCTGGTGGGCCCAACTCCCATTTCTTGTTTTCTTAGGCTTTCAGAGATAATAGTATTTTCCTGGATTTTATGTTAATTTTTCATTTGCATGGCTATTTGTGGACATTGTTATGCATATTCTCTAATACACATGTTGCAACAGTTTCTTAAAGCATATATTTAAAAGTGGAATTGCTGTCATAGAGTATGGATGTTTAATTTTACTAGATAATAAATTGTTTTCTATTTTTTTAGAGAGAGAGAGAGAGAATTTTAATATTTATATTTTAGTTTTCGGTGGACACAACATCTTTGTATATGGTGCTGAGGAGCGAACCTGGGCCGAATGCATGCCAGGCAAGCGTGCTACCGCTTGAGCCACATCCCCAGCCCATAAATTGTTTTCTAAAATGGTTATCCTAATTTATACTATTTCCAACAGTGTTTTACGACTTTGTATTACTCCATATTCTCACCAACACTTCAGAAAAGTGAGATTTTAAAAATTTGTTTTGCTAATCTGGTAGTTATAATTTTGTTTTCTGTGGTAACTAATCAAGTTGAGGATTATATATTAAAACATCTCACATAAATTAGAGATCTTATTTAATACCAAGATTTACTAACTTTTGGGATACCAGGGATTACAAGGCATAGGCCAGGCAGAGGAAGGCCTGGGACAGCTGCCACTTGCACTGCTGCTTGAGATTGAAACCCAAGGCACAAGTGAGCAGTCACCACACACAGCAGGGAGCACTGAGGTTATGAAACATCTGTATTTTATACTCATTTATTACATAGCATGGGTGATGTTTCCGGGGGAACAAACCCTTATTAATCCCTAGATTCTAGATTTATTACCATATGTAATCCTAAAGCCAGAAAGATACTGCAAAGAACGTGTATAAATGAGAACTGTCTTCCTAGCATTTGGTCCAGAGGTGCCCAGATTTTCTTGTTTTATGGTGCCCTAGTGTTTTAGTAATTTTTTTCATATTTGCTCCAGGGCCAAAAGGAATACCTAAGAGTTTTGTTAATTAATTAGTTACTTTGAAACAATTTGATTAGTAATTATGTCCTAACAGTTTTGTTGCTGTTTGTTATATAATATTTATAAATTGGAAGAAGATATTTTATTTCATTCTTAAATATTATTACTTGTTAATGGATAATATGTCCTTTGGGGCATTGCATAGCCTCTTAAACCTTGGAGTGTAGATACCATCACCACCTCCTCATATCATTCCACATTGATGTTGTTGATACCTTTTTTTATTGCAACCACCACCCAAAATCCCAACTCCACAAAAGATATCATTGAAAGGAATGAAGTGCAATGTAATATTGAAGATGGAAGCACAAGTGGTTTTGGGATGCTTGACAAATGTCAGGTGTAACTGATTCTTAGAAGGATTTAAATATCCTACAGTGCCCCAGGGTACTTGAATGTATAGTTTGAAAACTACAGCATTAGCCTGTGTCAATTTGTTACTAGAAGGTAAACAAGTAGATTAGACCAAATCATTACTTTTTTTTCTCCTGGTACAAGTCCCTTACCACTTGCCTGCCCGCCCTCTACCCCACCAACCACCATGTGGAATGTTAGCCATTCTATTTCCTTCTCTGTAAAATGGGATGTTTTAAACTACTTAATTAAATTTTTGAGAATTTTATTTAATTTTAAGATTTAAGATTTCTATTATATTTATTTTGCTTAATTTATTTTTATTTAGTACTTTTACAAAAATTTTCAAAGTTACTGGTAAACATTCATAGTACTCTTTAATAAGCTTTAGTATATGCTGCATTTGATTTCTATTTGTCTGCCTTATTTTTTGACTCACCTTGCAGTAATTTCATTAGTCTTCCAATTTTGACCTTCATTCCTTTTACTTAACATTTTATTACTTCCTACATTTTATTTTATTAGGGGTGATTCTGATGTCTTTTTCCAAATATTTTGAGTCCTTATTAAACTTTTTTTATTGGTTATTTGTATTTGAGCTATAAATTACCAGAATGCTTTTTAAAGTATTGATTTATTTGGTAGAAGATTGTTTATAGATAGATTTGCTCATCCTCAGTTTTGCCAACTTTTTTTCTTTGCTTACATATTTTGAAGCTGTATTACATGGCTGATTCAGGGTTAAGAATTCTGTCGTGTAGGGGAGCTTTTGCAGATTTCTACATTCTTGCCTGAAGTCCATTTTGTGTGAATTTTAACTACCAGTTTTCTTTTGATTAGTGTGTATTTTCTGTTTTACTTTAAAAATTTCTCCGTATTTGTTTCATGCATATCTCTTATAAGTAGCATATAGCTGAATTTGTCTTCTATACAATATGGTTATTAATATTTTTTTGTTTCAAACATAAAGGATTCTGGTTGATCTGAAAAATGAAGTTTGGTATCAAAAATGTCATGACCCTGTATGCAAAGCAGAAAACTTCAAATCTGACTGTGAGTAGTTCATTTTTTCATTAACAACAAAGTAAAAACTAGATATCTGTCTATAATAATTTTTCTATATCTGTATAATAGTTTGACTGTCTTTCTGATTCAGATTTTCCATTACCTGCTGAAGTCAGTCTTCTGTTTCTTCTCAAACAGGTAGGTGTAGTTTTTCATCTTTCTCATTACTAATTGGTTTTTGGCATAGTAGAATAAGTGAGCAGTCTCCAGATATCTTTTAAACAGAATGGTACCTGTTTTCACTTAGGAATATAGTGTAGTGATTTTCCCATCTTAGCACACATCTGATAATTTTTATGTCATTGCTGCATAAGAAATTATATAATCAATTTATTTAACTAGTCCCAGATGCTTCGAAAGTTTCTCATCTTCACTTTACAAAAAGTAAACCAAAGTAGCCATCTTTTTGTTTCTTTGAACAACCACGGCTGTAGGATGAATTTCTAGAAATAGAATTGCACCAAAGAATATATACAGTTTTAGTTTCGATAGCTATTATCAGACTGCCAAAGCAGCATTTTTCTTTGGTCTTTTATTTACTCAAGTGATTCATTTTCAGTGTAGAAGAAAAATAGAAAATACATACAAAGGGGAGAAAAATCTTTCCCACTCATAATTTGACTTGATATGAAATTTTAGCATACATCCTCCAGAATTTGTATCTACACCTGTTCTTTTGTATATTTTTATAAGTCATAATACACAAACTATCTGGTAGGGGTTTTTTCCCCCTAAAGTGTCACAAATGTATTCAACAAAACCTGTTATCAAATTGCTGTCCATAAATCAGAGTTCTATAAAAAATTGGACACCTAATAACACTACTTTCCTTTCCCAACACTGGATGTTCACCTTCTATTCTTTATTAATGAAGTCAAACTCTTCTCATATTTACTATTTGTATTTCTATTATGAATTGCATATATCTCTCCTTTGTCCATTTTTCTATGACATGTTTTATAAGGAATTTTATTAGAAGTTGAACCTAGAGTGCTTTACCACTGAGCCACATCTTGAGCCCTTTTTATTTTTTATTTTGAGACAGGGTCTCGTTGAATTTCTCAGGGCCTTGCTAATAAGTTGCTGAGGCTGGCTTTGAACTTGTGATCCTTCTGTTTTAGCCTCCTGAGTTGCTAGGATTACAGGCATGAACCACCATACCCAGTTGTGGTGTTGTACTTTTAAATCTTACCTTTGTCTTCTGGGTCATATCTATGAGCACTTTTATACCATTATGGCTAGAATAAATTACTTGCTATAAGCTGAACAAGTGCTTGAGTTTATAGTCTAGAAAACCCACATTACCTATTCAATTAAAAATTATCTTAAAAAATTATCTACTGAAATAACTCATGTCTCCAAGTTTAGAATAGTGGAAATCCCAAGAGCTGGATATAAAAGAACCAACACCTCCAAATACTCTGCCAAACTGCCTGGTTTGAAAGTGTTTATAAATAACTAAGAACTAATTTTAAAAAATGAAATTGTGTCTCTTAGGAGGAGGAGGGATGTGTCATCCTTGATGGGAGTGTTATTTTGATGACTGGTTTCAGCTGATTTTTAAATTTAGTTTTCTGCTTATTTGAAAATACCACAAATATGACAAGTTGAAAGTACTTTTGGCATATATAAATTGTTACCATTACTTGGACACAACTTATTTTGGCTATTGTTTAAGATAATAAAGGAACAATGATGAATACCCATATATGTATCACTTAAGCATTTTATCATTTCCGCTTAAAATCTTTTAAAAATATTCTAAATTATTATATTATTGGTGTTATTTATCACTTTTCTATAACATTATCTTATAGATTTTAAAAAGTAAAGAAAATTTCTAACCTGCAAATACCGCATGAAAATAAGTGATTCTCCTGGCCCAACCTTCACCTGGATTTGCCATTTGTTGACATTTGGCTGCCTTCCTCCCTCTAATGTACACATGTATTACTATTTTTGATGAATCTCAAGAGTAAGTTGTAGATATTAAAACCCTTCATTTCTTAATTAAGCATGTTCATGAAGAATAAGGACATTCTGCTGAGGGGCATTGCCAAGTAGGAATGACGCATTGAAATTTCCTTGCCAGCGTACCCCATGTTAAATGGACTTGCCTTGGAAATTCGCTGTGACATTGCATGTGTGTTTGAGAAAGGTGACCCTGCTCAAGGATGAGGGTGGATCCAGGTTTAGGGTGTATCCTGCAGGTTTTAGGAAGTATCCCGGTTTAGGATAATTTGGGTTTAGGGCGTTCCCGGTTTAGGACAATCTGGATTTAAGGCAGTTCCAGGTTTAAGATTATTGCTGCTGGGAATAGGGCACATCCTGCTGCCTGAGTTCCCGTTGAGTTCTCATGGAATTCAGAAAGTATTTGGGACGTGAATTGTGCGGCAGAACTGGGATTTCCCCAGAACGTGTGTAGAGGCCGGTGTGAGTTCGGGAATAAAGAATTGCTGTTTGAATCTACAAAGCTGTGAGTGGCTCGTGATTTTGTGCCCAGCCAAGACTGCGGCAACATTCTTAAAAAGCTATGGAAAAAAATTTTAAATTCAGGAAATTTAATATTGCTGCAATATGCTGTCTAATATACAATCCAGACATATTTTGACAATTTTCCCAAAACTGTTCTTTGCAACAATTTTCTTCCAAACCATGTTTACAATTTTTAATATACTTTGTAAATTGGAGAAATAATTCTGTTGTGAAGATAGCAAATATATTTTCTAATCTGTCTTTAGCTGGATTAGCCACTTGTTGTAAAATCAAATCGACTTTTGTTGTAGCCCAGTCTGGGAATATTGAAAAATGTCAAGGAACTGTAGGCAACTTAAAATTTGAAATTTCAAGAGTATCTGAGCTACAAAGGCAACACCTTTGAGTTAATACACTCATCCCATGACTATACTAGAGACAGTTCATCGAGCATATTCACTGTACTGTTGAAGAACTGGTCCTTACTTCATCCCTTAATTTAACATAGATTCAGAGTATGGTGAAATTGTCACATATTGCAACTAAATAACTTTTATCTTCCCATCTTCTTCCCCATTGAAATAAAGGAAGAAGAGTTTACAGAAGATGAAACTGAGCACAGTGAAACCAAGAATCCTCATGAGCTCCTGTCAACAGCAGGTGCATCTGCTGATGCTGACTGGGATAATGGCACTGATGATGCTTGCTTTTTAGAAGCTACTGAAGATGCTGAATTAGCTGAAGCTGTAGAGAATAGTCTTCTTACTTCTCACAGTAGTATAGAGGATGAAATTCCTGATGAACTAATTATTGAGGTATTTCAAGAGTAGCTCTCTGTGGATAGTGCTTATTATCCAGGCAAAAATTTGCCCAAAGTCTGAGATTTGATAACAGATTTATTAAATTAGGCCTGGGAGTGCAGCTCAGTGGTAGAGTGCCTGCTTGTCTAATATGCAAAGGCCCCAAGTTCAATCTCCAGCTGCACAAAAATAATTATATTAACTTATTAAGTCTGTTTATATCAATTGTGTTTTTATCACTTTATCTTCCAATTTGTTATTTACTAAAGTAAACCAGTTTTATTGAAAATTGGCTTTGGTGTTTTTAAACTCATTCAGTAGACATCTCATTAACCAAAATTGGTCTGTGTTCATAATGACATAATTTTAAAAGTTTATTTATAGATTAATACTCATGTCTGGGTTTTAATATCTGGGGCTGATTAAAATAAGGTATCAGCATTTTATTATCAGGAAAGATGACTATGGCTTCTAAGACAAACTTGTTTCATTTATTTTAGTGATTAAGTCATACTTTTAAAAAAATCTGAGATGTGTTATGTAGGTAATTTTTCATAGACTGGTCTTTTCATTCCTGGCCAAGGAGCTTTTCTAATTGATGATTGATATTTTGCAGATGGTTTTCAGCTCCCATAAGTGTTCTTGCTTTAAATAACAGAGCTGGAAGGCTGGATGGATCATACTGTTGAAGACAGAAAATTATATAAGTTCACAAATATTAAATAGTTGACCAATGTCAATAGAACAATTTTTGATAGAACTTTTGATAGCTACTTCTTTCATTTTTTTAACCAAGATCATTAAGAAAATTGGCTTTAATTTACTCTGTAATATAAAGTTACAAGGGAACCACTCTACAAAGCTCAAACTGATCTATTTATCCAATATGAATAGTTGGTTCAAGGAGAACTGCAGCATTGGATTAAAACAAAATCATGCCTGTGACAGGTAAACAACTGCTCTGGGCAAGTGTGCTAGTCTGAGGTGGGGTTTGCTTGATCTCATGTGTATTTTTAAAACACACAAAAAAGGGGGCTAGGGATGTGGCTCAAGCGGTAGCGCGCTCGCCTGGCATGCGTGCAACCCGGGTTCGATCCTCAGCACCACATACAAACAAAGATGTTGTGTCTGCCGAGAACTGAAAAATAAATATTAAAAAAATTCTCTCTCTCTCTGTCCCCCCCTCTCTCTTTAAAAAAAAAAAAAAAAAACCACAAAAAAGTAAGGTAGGTATACTTTTACTGTAAGAACTGATGGAATGAGAACATCAAGCTTATTATAAAAGTTTATAATAAAAATCTAAAATATCTAGAAAAATTGGGAGGATCAGTTAAATGTCTTAATGGGTTAAGAACATTTGAATTGCAACCTTTAAGTTACAGGTTTTCAATTATGTAAATATTTCAGTGAAACTGACATAGGTGCATTAAAATGGGTTGGAAATCGAATCTGTAGAGTTTATATATTGTATATTATAACTACATTACATTGTATAATTATATGTTACTTAAATGATCATATTTAAATTTTTATACATGTTCTACTGCTTTGGGATTTTTCTACTCCTCTAGCTTTCATTGCTTTATATTATGCTGTTTATTTGTCTTAAAGCTTCTAGTACTACATAGCATGGAAATACCCTTCATCATCTAAAGCACAATAAAAAGTAAAAATCCAACTTACCATTTCTTTTATGTTTGGTTCTTTCTCTTGAACAACTGAATAATCGTGATAAAGCTGTTTTAAATTAGATAAGAAATACACTGCATTCCTAAGGGATGACTTTCTCTCCTCAAGTTCATCATATTTTGTTTGTAGTTGTTTTAGTTGTGGTTCTAACCTAGAACAAAAATTTTTCCACAAAATAAACATATAGTGAAGTGTAACAGGCTACAAAGTATGAGACTGTGTATTTAGGTATACTGCATTAAGTATGAAAAACTAGGGAGGGAGGTATCTTTGGATCTGACAAAGATAATTGAAAAAATGAAAGGAGTACTAGGTTTAAATTTTCTTTGTAGGAAAAACCCTCTGACCTGTGATATACAATGAATAATGAACAATGACACCCAGAAGAATATGCCTTACATATGCTAAAATTCATCAATTCAGTCCAGTCTTGGGAGCTATGAATTAACCTGTAAACTTGGTTGGCATTTTATAGTCTCAGGCAGGAGTAGCCAGGCATTGTAGTTTTAACTATGGACAAAAACTTTCCCCTTCTTATCAAAATCCTGTCCACTTTCCAAGGTCTAGTAAAACTAGTGGGAAAACTATCATAGTACTTGGATGAAAAATGTGGACCTTGGACCACTGCTTCACTTCTTAGTGGTTTAGTTTGTTTACCTATAAAATAAGGGATAATTTAGATTTTATGGGCCAAAATGAGGAGGAAAGGCTGCCAATTTTTATTTTTCCCAAATATAGAGAAAACAACTGTCCTCTACTATAATTTTACAAAAGTCAAGTCCTCTGCTTCCAGCTACCACACTCTTCCACCACAGTGTTCTGTCTCCCCTGGGGCCCAGAGCAATGGAGTTGGCCAACCATGGGCTGAACCTCTGAGACTGAGCCAAAATAGTCTTTTCCTCCTCTTAAAAATAATAGAGAAAAGCCCTTTTTAACAGTCCTTCACATTGGACAAATGTAGCACCCATCAGCAAACTGACTTCTGAACTGGCAGGATTATGATCAGGAGTCAGACTTACATTCAGCTAACAGCAGAGTCTTGCTCCCCCAGTTCCTAGGGATTTGACTGTGTTATTATTCCCCTGTGCTTTGGGGTTTTCACTTGCAAAGTTAAAAACATGATATACTACACTTATTCTTACTATATATTTTCGAAATATACTTCTCCAACTTCTAAAATTATACCTAGAAAAGGTATAAAAACTCTTTAAACCTGTCTGAGTGGTCTCACATGACAACAAAGCAGAGCCTCATTACAGAGCTCTCATCACCTACTTCATAGGATGATAATAGATTTGTAGAAAGTGCCCTGCCTCCAAGGAAGCTATTAAGTGTTACTATGTTACCTTAAGTTTCTAATTTGGGGCTGTGCCAATTGAAAATTTATTATGCGACAGCCCCTATCCCTAGACAAAATTTGGAAATCAATGGACTAGTTAATAAATTTCTTCCCTTATTAAATCCTTAGGGCAATCTCTTCTTTAAAACTCAGTACTTTACTGGGGACTGAAATTGGGCCAGTTATGTTATATGCATTTATTAATATGTCAAAGTGAACTTACAATTATGTAAGGCAAAAATGCACTAACAAAATAAAAAACCAACTTAATACTTAATCTTTCCCAATAATATCACATTCTTTCTCAGGGTGTGTGTGTGTGTGTGTGTGTGTGTGTGTGTGTGTGTGTGTGTGTGTGTGTGTGTGTTTTGCAGCACTGAGGATCAAACCCAGGGCCTTGCTTCTACTAGGCAAGCAGTGTACTTGAGAGAACTGGGCTACATCCCCAGCCCTCTCTATTTTAAAACTCCTTAAAAGCAGAGAGCATAGCTGATTCTGCTTTACTCAAGCCTCCAGCTCAGTCCTGGCCTCAGAAGAGCAGCAGAAAATGTGTGATCCTGTATTCTGAACCAGCCTGGGGGACTGCCTTGGCCTGCAAAGCCTGTGAGGTTCTTCTGGCCCAACAGTATGGATTTACACAAGTGCCGCTCCAGGGTATACACTTCTGTGGTAATAAAGAACACTTAATGTGTGTTAGCCATTATGAAGCACTTTTCTAGAGATTCACTCAATTCCTACAACACGCTAAGGTACAGGTGGTATTATTATGCCCACACAAAAAAGATGAAACTGAGACACTGGGAAGGTAAGTAACTTGTCCAGCACTACACAGCCAGTAAATGGCACAAACTGGATTCAAACCCAGAAGTCTAATTCTAAAGCCTATGCATTAAACCTCTTAAGCAGGCTGTCTTGGGCCAGAGCTGAGAGAGATTGGGAAATAGAGCAGTGCTGAATTCTCTCGTGCTAATGGGTTCTGCAACTAGGCAACATAACCTGCCTTTTTTGACCATGTGAGCTCAAAGATAACCTGGTGCTTTTAATATGACACTCTACCAAATGACACACTGTACTACTGTCCTTTAAACTTCTCAACCAGGATTTTGGTATTATCTTACCGAAGAAGTTCATCTTGGACTTCAATGAGACGCTGCCTTTTCCTTTCAATATCAGAAGTCATCTAAGTAATTCAATAATTTGTTAAATTAATGTAAACATTTAAACAGTGCCACATACATCGTGCCAGGTACTGGAAGAGCAGCAGGAAACAGAGACTAGGTGTGGCTTAGTGGGCAGTTTTTAGGTTACTGGAGTGTGCCCTTAGGAAACTGTAGGAACCCAGTCCCCTGCTTGCTCTCTTGTGCTCGCTGGCATGATGTTGTGTGGTTTTGCTCTGTCACACACTCTCACCATCATGTGCTGCCTCGCCACGGGCCCCAAACTAACAGGTCAACTAGTCATGGACTGGAACCTCCAAAACTATGAGCCCAAATTAATCTAAGTTGATTATCTTAGGTATTTCACTATAGTGATAGAAGGATGACTAACATAGATCCCCATTCTTTACCTTGCATAACATTTCTTAATTTCTTAATCAACCACAAGATCAACCAAATAAGACTAAAAAAGATAAAAAATTGTATACGAACTCCAAAATTTGTACAAATTTTAAAAAAAGTCTTATCTTTACTTAACTCTATATTTGTCAGTATTATTTGACTATATATATTTTTTTGGATACCGGGGATTGAACTGAGGGACACTTGGCCACTGAGCCACATCCCCAACCCTACTTTGTATTTCATTTAGAGACAAGGTCTCATTGAGTTGCTTAGGGCCGCACTTGCTGAGGGTGGCTTTGGACTCGCAATCTTCCTGCCTCAGCGTCCTGAGCTGCTGGATTACAGGTGTGTGCTACTGTACCCGGCTTGTTTGTATAATTCTAATCACATAGTGATTTACCTTAGCATTCTTCCTTTTCAGATTTTTCAACATCTGGGCTTCTTTAAGCTATACAAAACAAAAAATAAGCAGATGAATTTTTCCAAAGTTAAATGTTATAGAGTGTTATGGTTTCGATATGAGGTGTCCCCCTAAACCTCTGGTTAATACAGAATAGTCAGAGGTTAGATTGAAATGAAATGATTGGATTTTGAGAATGGTCCATCCTGGTTTGAATAACTAGGTGGCACCTCTAGACAGATGGGGCATGGCTGGAAGGGTTCATCTTCCCTGCAGCCCCCTGCTATCCCCCTTTCCTCTGC